AAAAATTAGGTGTCTATTTACTTGTGACCACTCAGTGTACAGTAAAATAAAAAGATGGAAGAATATTAAATAAAATGATTAATATTTTTTCCTTCATCTTCGTTGAATGTATAATTTTGTTTGATTGTCAGTCTTTTTATCGTCACAGTTTCAAATGGTAACCTTTTCACATCTATTTTCTTTAACATGGTTGCTGCCACCTGTAGTATTAACATATTAAGTATAGATAAAATTAAACATTCAAGAGGTCCCGTGGAGCAGTCATGGTGTCTCAAACTTATATGCCACAAGAGACATTTGGCTTTGAAACATAATTGTCTGTGACTCACAAGGTCCATAACTAAAAGTCGATTGTGAGCCACTGGTGGGGTACATGGCAGCAAACATGTTCATTTTGTGGTTTTATTGCCATTCTTTATACCCTCTGAAGCATTAATCCTCCAATCAAAAGCAATAGATCACAGAGGTAGACCACTGCCCACTTGTCATAAGCAACTTGCATGACCCACCTGACCTTTGCGAATGCAAACCATAACTGTGTTAAGCCTGACATTTTCACTGAGTTAGTTTTTCAAGTAAATATTCATACAGCTTTCAAGTATGCATTTTAGAATACAAAAATATATCAGGCACTAGAATTGAATGTCCAAAAACTACTATAATTTAACTGGCTATCTAACTAAGCTATAAATAGCAGTAAGTTGGCAAACAATGATTTATAAGCAGAATAAAAAATATTTTATATAGATACATAAAATACAAATATTTCATGTCAAAATTGAAACATTCTCTGTCTAGCATTACAGAAATAACAGAAGCACTGTTTTCAAATAATACCTTGCAGGCATGTTATCTAAGTTAAAGTTCTTTGTCCCTGTATATGTTACCTAATGTTGTGTTCTTTCTGTAATTGATTCATTCATACCATACAATACTCACTAATCACTACATGTATGATTATACATGAGAAATACTACACAAGTATTCCTCTTGCAAATATAGTAAAAGCTTCCTCACAGAAGATACAAAAAACCTGCATGAACAAAAGACCTGACTGGAAATCATTGAGTTATACCTCTAATCTCTCTTCCAAGTATCCTGAATTACCTTTAAAGAGAAGCCTAATCATTATTTATTTTTGAGATTCTTCAATACTACACTGTATAAAAGATCCAAATATTTTGATTTATTTTCTACATAATTTCAATCCAAAAAATAAACTAGTTTTCATCAGTGTTGCACTTGTAATAAAAAAAACATATAATATTGGATATACCTGATAAATTTTTCATAATTTTAGTATTAAAATTGTTTTATTTTTAGCAGTTAACAGCTACAGGAATGAATAAGCTTTGCTAATTGTATTAAACTTGTTTTCAGAAAAGTACAATTGCACTGATTATCCTAAGCTAATTTAAAAAAATACAGTGTGATTTTATTTTTCATTGTGTCATACAGCTTGCTGTGTCTAGCGATAAACTTGCAGTCTTGAGACAACCACTGTTAGAATTGGATCTAAAGTTACAACAGGGAGAAACATCAAGATGTTTGTCAGTTGAACTGTGTAAGGATGAATTAAAAGAGTTAATCACTGTTTTGGAGGGAGCCCAGAAGGTAAGCCAGCACATGAAGGATTTTTGGGAATTTGTATCCAAACAAGTATCATCTGATGAAAAAAAATGTACAATGATTAAACTGTTATAAAAAACGTTTTTAGAGTGATAATATAGTTGCATATTTTAATAGTTTTTGAAACTGTAATGTAATGTTTTAGTTTAATTGTATATGATTTCATTTGCTTACAGGTTTTTGTGTAAAACAGTATACAGTGAACCCTTAATTTTTGCAGGATTATGTTCTTAAAAAATGGTGCAAGTGTTAATACTAGAAGTCTATAGAAAAAAATGTGATAAGGAGCATGAACATATATGTATGTACAGTATTGTGTATACATATTAAATAAATAAATAAACGTATTGTGCAGCTTGTATTATATAAACTTACCTTTAATGATGATGAAGATAATGTTGACATTGGGGAGAATTTTGGGTAATGACAGCTGAAACAGGAATGTAGGTGAAAGTGGATGCAACTGGAATGGAGGCGGAGCTGGCTGGGACTGTGACTGGATGAAAGTGGCTTAAAAAAATTGGTGATTGTCATATTTTTTGCCTATTTTTCAAGGTCTATGTAAACTTCTTTATAGGGCTTTAACACATAGTTCACATCTCTCTTTAATTTTATGTTGCAATACATGAATGGATGCACCTCAAACACTTTAGCTGTAAGTTCATTCACTTGTTTTATATTCGGTTTAGGCTTTACATTTAAGCTCTTTAAGGTTGCCTTCTGTCAGCTCCTCAGTGTGCGACTCTATCGGTTCTTCTGTTTTTCAACTCCCAAACCCTTTCCCTCTAACATCGTGTGCCATTCTCCTCACTTTGTCGTAAACAGATGGAAAACCTGTGAAGCCAACTTCCCCCGACAGGCATCGATAATTGACTACTGTTCCTCCTCAAGTGAATCCTTAATGTTAGTGATACAGTGGGTGCTGTTATAGTCTTTCCAGCGCTGGTTGACAGTGAGTGTTGGGCCAATTTCTATTGCATCTTAGAGGTGACGAAATATGAGTTGGGTGTATTATCTGTGACCTAATGGTTGAAAAAGGGAAGTGGTATTGAGAGGCAGGAAGAGAGCCTCAACATTTGTATGAGCAAATTGGATACTTTCTGGATGGCCAGGTTCATTGTCAATAATAAAGAGGACTTTAAAAAGCCAAATTGTTGGAGGTGGATTCCTCAGGTTGCTTGGGGTCATTTGTCACAAAGGACCATTCCAATTACCTACCTGATATATTAAGGATACATTACATGCCCTTTCACTACACCTGTTTGTATCCCGATTCTCATAAGCAATGTATCACCTTTACCTGAAGGTTTATTTTCATTGCTGCTAAACTTCAGACATGGCCGGTAAGCATGGTTTGTACTATTTGTCCACAGACTGCTTTATCATTCTGCCATTGTCCTCTGACCAGTTCTTCTTACCCAAGACACCTTTACCTGAAGGTTTATTTTCATTGCTGCTAAACTTCAGACATGGCCGGTAAGCATGGTTTGTACTATTTGTCCACAGACTGCTTTATCATTCTGCCATTGTCCTCAGACCAGTTCTTCTTACCCAAGACACTCGACAGGGAAGGGGATTAATCCTTTTCACTGATTCATCTGATTACTATTTCTCCCTTCTATGACCAATCAGATTTCAATCATTGTTATGTTCAGTGAGTGTCATTTCACAATGCTAGACTATGAATATTTACTCTGGGTTCTCTTTGAAAGCAAGGAATCTTCTGCAAGTCATGTCTCATCAGATCTGTCGTATTTCTATGTCTTTAGCAGCCCAGTTGAATAGCCCACCAGATGACATTGTGCAGACTGATATATGGACCTTCCCCAATACTTGTATCTCACATTATGTGCATGATCTGGCAGTCTCTTTATCTGAGGGTTTTTGCTTACTCCCTGTAGCTGTTGTAACTATTTCTGCTAGAGAATACAGAGGGAGAGTATTTTCCTTGCTATCTTTTCATTACCTTATGTTCACACTGTGGCAAGTATTGCCCAAACAGGTGTGCTTTTATCAAACCAATTCTGACCAGGTGGTATTACTGTAGTATGCTGGACCACCACTCATGGACTATCATGAGTAAAGCATAAGGGATCCTGCCTGTCCGTGCTGATCTTCGGATTGAATAAATTGGGATCAGCTTGCTTTAAAAATTTAGGGCACTTAGTTCACCTATTACATTGTTTCCAGAGCACTGTTCCTCGGTGCTCCCCAATGCACATTAATGGGATTGTGTATGCTGTACTCAACCAAAGGAAACAGAACTAATCCGGTCTCGAATTATGAACATTCATTCCCACTCCCCTGAATTATAGGGAGGATGTGGAACAACTATACTCAACCAAGGACCACTTTGCGTTTGGAATTATGAAGAGATAGTGGATCCTCTTTTATGAACAATGAACTGAAAGAGTAGAGGAATTCAGTCTAACACTCTGTCCACCACCCCAGCAACTGGAAATCGGGTGTGCTAAGGATTCCCTAGCTCCACTAATAGAATATGGGGGGTATTCCAAGGCTGGAATGTTGCCTGTTGGGCTTCTTCAGATAGAGGAGAGGGTTTGTCCACTTCATTGTTGCTTACATTCTCATCATGATTCTTGTTGTTCGGAACACATCACTCTATGGCTACAGGTTGGGATCCACTTGTAAGTATTTCTATATTTATATAACATTGCCGATTCAATTACCCTAGCCACCAATGTGGGATTTAGGGACCAAGATCCCTTAATTTGAACCCTGAGTAGTGGAACCTCAGCTGTCTGGTTGGGGCTGGCCTGTAGTGATGTACAGTCATGTACAGTTCCACCCTTAATACAGGAACTAAGTTCAGGGTGAAGAGAATACCTGTTATGGATGTAGTGTAGTTCCCCCACTTGTGTACCAATCTTATCTTGGAACACCCACGATCCATGCAGATGTTTTCTGTATGGTTAATGCCCTCACCAGTCCCTCCACCTTCTCAATGTGGGATTCCAGCTATAAGTGTCAGTGAAGGTAAGTATATTTTGGAAGTTAACATTTTCCTAAACTGGTAATGTGTTTTCAATAATGCTTACCTCTACTGATAATCTCCTGCCCTTCCTCACCACTAAGTGCCAGTGTAAGAGACTGATAGGGTATCAGTCTCAAAAAAAGGGATAAAATGATCTGAATGAAGTGCTTATATACAGTACCAGGATAGAGGTCACATTGACGTAGGTGGAGAGTACAAATATTGCCAATGGTAATTAAGTGGGGTATAAAAAAGACTGGAATACATGAGAAAAAAATCAGACTAATGCTTAGATTGGCAAAGAAGAAACCCTGTAGGTCAAGTAATAGCTATAAGTGTCAGCGGAGGTAATTATTATTGAAATACACTTTCAAGTTAGGAAAATGTTAATCTTCATTGATTTACATTTTGAAAAAGACATTTATACTAATGTTTTTATGGTATTCATGTCTTCAAACCTGGTAGGTTATAAAAGTTACCAAATGTATTTGTGTACTATATACACGTTATTATTGTACATTCTTAATCTTGGGATAAGTTACTTGACTTTCATATTTTCATTTACATAAGGTGCAGTAAACATTCCAAAATTACTATTGATGTTAAACGTTTTTAAGATTTGATTTGTGACTAATTTGAAAAGGGGAAAATAGATTTTTTTAAACTATCTGTTATACTGCATCTTTTAACTTTTCATTTTTAGTACATTTTGGTAAGTGGAAAAAAAGTTTTAAGTAATAAGAAAATGTAGAAATAATATCTTTCTAAAACAAAGTGAATAACACCATACAAAGTTTTTGCACATATGTAATATCTAATGAAAGAAAGCTATAATTCAAGTATCTCTTCGACAATACTTGTGAAAGATTTTGTAAACGCTGTATTATTTACAATGAAATATAGTTGTGTTACAAGATTATAACAAAATATTAGAGTGAGGGTAGTTTTTCTTTCCTACTTTTAACTAGATTTTTAAGGATAATATAAATTAATAGTTCTTTCATACATTTTATTGGTTTAATATTTATTCCATAGTCACTTCCTTATATAAGCTTTTATTTTGGCTTAAGATATGTAGGTGACATTTTTTGTGATTTTACTTGTCAATATAAACAAATAGACTTCCTTCAACACATAAACAACATACATAGACATACAAGTTATAGTTAAAAATAACTACACAATAAATGTTGTGAATGTTACATCACATGAACTTCCCAAAGCTTCACCACTAAAATTCACAGAAGAAAAACACATATTGTGGAAATTACGTACTCTGGTTCTCTAATCATGTAATCCATCAGAAAATAGACATCTTTAAAAGCCTCCTAAATTGAGCATATACTATATGCATGACATAAAACATTGATTAAGAAGTTACACACTTAATTCAGATCTTCTCCTAGAAAAACTAATTCACTATCATTGTAATTACATAAACTATTAAAACATTTAAAGAAACATAGACAAGACAGGTTTAACAAACAAATAAACCCACGAAATGGAGAAAACCTAATCAACGGTACTATCCCATATATAGAAAGTAGTAGAAATTTAAAAAGACTAGCATGTAAGTATAACTTTAACAATTAGATTCATCTTCATCCCTAGAATAAAAATTAAACACATGTTAAGAAAATTATATAATGAATCCCCTACCCTTACTCCAGGAAAAATTTACAGAATACAGTTACATAGGTGAAGCAGTATATAATTTGGACATCAGCTTAAAAAAAAAGACACCAAAAACCCCTTTCCTTGTCCCTGAACATATAAACAACAACCAACACAGGTTTCTCAAACAAAATGTTGCCTTTCTAAAACACGAACCTGACAGTAATCATAGAAAAGTCAGATAAGTCTTATTAATAAATTAAAACAATCCCACTATCAATAAACATATACACAGGCATGATCCTATGTTTTAAATCATAATTTTCATACACATTTCTAATCTTTTTCAAACCTTTTTCAAAATATCTTCCACATATTCAAGATCATTTAATCTTTTTTGTTCATCTCAATAAATAAAATGTCACTTCGTGCATATTGATAGTTACATGTATAAGTTACCACTATTTATTCTCAAATTGAAATACAGTATTGTATTGTTAAACATTAAATACAAAAACTGTGTATTTTAGAATGACTGTGTAAGCAATAGACAACAACAACAAAATCCTGGCAGAAATTTAGGTTGTTTAAAAAAATAGGGTGCTTAGAGATCCCTCTTTGCCCTGCATGTTGTAATAGGTTTACTTAAAAAGATTTATGGGTTTTGTGTGTAATTAACTCGAGTCTGCGGGGAGAGCCATATGACATCAATTCTCAAAGATAAACAAACTTAAAACAAATGGCCCCTGTGGAATGGATGGACCATCAGAGTGGCAGAGATCTGTGGATCCAATGCCTGAAAATTTGCATTGGGGAAATGAGAGTGCCCCCCAAAATCCAATTTCACAGTCCAGGCTCCAAATTTGTATGCTTGGGCCATGCCCTGAAAAAATACTGCAAGGAAAAGGTCTATTTTACCAGTAATCCTTGACAGATTACCCCTCGACTTCTCTCCATGCCAAATAACTGGTTTCACTGATGAGTTAAAACCCAGGGTATCAATTGACCCCCAACAAAACAAAGATCCTACACTGCGATGGAGTTTTCTTCCAACCCTCAACCCACGCCAACCTTACCTATCTGTGCGGTCCATGGAACTCTTTTCCACATGTTACATGTACAAGTCCCCAGAGCAAATCTAACCTTTTCTCCATTTTCCTAAAAGGCATCGACTTACAATCACTCAAGTTGAAATCCAGCAATCCCTAGAAAAAACCACACTAATCTCCATGCAGTTCACCAGATCTAGTGAAAAACTACAGAAGTCTGATACCAGAGAAATTAGTTTCAACACATTCGTGCATCCTCTTCAGTCTCACGCTGTCTTCTGAATGTGTCAAAACTAGTTTCTCTAATATCAGACTTCTGACAGTTTGTTTGGTTTACTGTGGTTTTTCACTAATTGCTATATACGATATTGTGTTCTTGTATAATTTTTACCGGATCTGTTCCAGGACAACTGGCAAGATAACCCAGTTTATAAAAATCATCACTTCGTCTACACAACCCATCAATCATATTCTTACCCACGGATGCTTCTTTCACCCTTTTCACTTCAAAGCCAAGAAACCCGGATGACTTCTACATATTTGATTCAACATCTTTCTCACAGCCTACTCATGATTACAGTGAACATGACTGTGTCTTCCCTAGCTTTCATCAGCCAAACCACAACCATCTCCGTAGAAAGACATTTTACATCCATGCTATCTAACTATCGTTTTTTCTCATGACTTCAGCTGGACAACTGACTGAAGAAGAAAAAAATTAACTACAGCTGATTCACAAGATCTTGTACACAAGTTTATTTTTTAGTAATTTAACACAGATATTAAGTTTTAAATCAAAAAATATTATGTTTTTAAATGAAAATTTTGATGGGTATAGCACAACACTTTTCCCTTTTTTATGGATATTTCAAAATGTTGCAAGAAAACCCTTAAAATTTATTTCTCTGAAGAAAAGAGACTGTTAGTTTTGCCAGATAATTTACTTTTGGTTTTTCAAAGATAATCATGAATTACAATTACATACAGCGACAAAATTTCACACATACAAACATTCAGCAAAATTCAACTGACAGCACAGTAAAAAAAACTAAAATTATACTCTTCATTAACAACAACAAAACATATACTTGTGTCCTTCATGTGGCCCCCAATACTTTTTCATTCTATTATCTCTTGATTTTTTTCTAAGGATTTTCTACTATTTATGATTTTAAATTTAGGATTCTATTTTCTCCAAGCCCAACTAGTATATACTACCCTAATATACTGGAAACCTGTAAAATTATTAACAGAGTTAAAGAATTTCATAATCTTCAGAGCACAAACTCCTAATTTTCCTGCACTCTTACTAAATTACTGGTGACAGGAGATATAAACCACACTTTAGAATAAATAAAACAAACCATAACTTGTATACTTACTAATGGTATTTGTTTTTACAAGTTACAACTTTTACAGTAAGGAAGAATTTTTATACAATTAAGTATAATATTTTTTCTATTGCTTATGAGGGTTACTCATTCCTTCAATAGCAACTGAGCTAATAAGACATGTTTCTTCATCAGTCAAAATGTCTTCCAAGCGTGGAAGATCTTTGCCGATAATTTCTGAAGACCAATTGAAAAAAGGAGGGTAACCTACAGAAACATGATTTGTTTAATTAAAATAAGTCACTGGTTAAAGCTACATTTATCCATGAAACATTTTAATTATTATTTTATTAGGTTACTAAAATCTTTAGTTGGTAATGTAATTTTGCAAGAAAACCAAAATTAAATGTAATTTTACTAAATAATTTTTTTTTGCCAATACTTGATAAATGAATTTTTTAGACACTTGAAAATGGAGGTTTCATACTTATGAATATTTACTTTAAACGTTAATTTTATAAATTCAAGTTGAATACTGTATATCCTGAGAAAAGACTGTAACTGATGAGGTGTAAAATAATAAATCATAACAAAATGCACACATTTTATAAAAGTTATATGTATATATATATATTGAGTGAATAAACAAAATGTACACTTAAAATAAAATATGAAATAGTGATATTAGGTTGTAAATC